CAAGATACAAAAAGATAGAGAATTGTGGCAATTACATAATATTTAGACATAAACAATGTGAATAAGCTTATTAAAATTATAAACAGTAAGTACAATAAAATATGGACTAAGTAAGCTGAGTAACAAGATCCTAAACTGAAGTAAATAGATGCTAACAATTGTTGTAGTGTAATATATAATATTCATTTGTTATCTTGGCTTTGTTTAGTCCTTATGAAGGCCTGAAACATAGGCCGAAACGTTGGTACAGAGAAAATAAATATAATTTATTTTTACTTTACACTTGCAAAAAATGCAAAATCCAACTATTTTCTCATCAATAATGTTTTCCTGCCATCAAAATTTATCCACCATTATTTATATTGTAAAGATTTATGTTTATTTTAGTTTTTTTTTTATCATTGATTTTCCCTTTGTAATTAATTGAAATACTATTTTAAATAATTTTAAGTAAGGATTATCTAAATAATACGCGAAGATATAAACAAAGTTCAACTTTTGTAACAGTATTTATGGTAGAACTAGGTACTTTACATGCAAAATGTTTAAAAAAGCTTTATTTTGAATCTTTTTTTTTATTATTAATAACAATTTTATTTAGGCAATTATGATTATTACAATACATCCCCAATCATGTGAAATCAAGAAATAAAAGGATATAACAGTTTAATTGTAGTCATTTTTGGTGAAAACAAGAATATGTTTAGATGACAGTATAAAAAATCACATTATTTTTCTACACAATTTGAGTTGAATCTAAACTTTTTGCATAGTAAATCTTAAATTAATTAATATAGACTTAAAGCTTATCAAACGAAGAAGTTTTTTTTTTTGTAGTTGGATAAAGATAAAAAAAATCACAAATAATTTAAGAATTACAAAAAAAAATTTGCTTGGTTTAGCTGCTCATAAGTCCTCTTTAAATGGATTTAACAATGACAACACACAATTTTTCTAAAAATTAATTTTGTCTAGTTTATAGCGAAACAATTTTCGATTACTTAAATTAAATATTTATTTATTTACCACTTTATTTTCAACAGAAAACACAAAACCTGTATTTTCTACTTTCTTACTGAAAATTGGCCCATTGTTTATATGAACATTTTTGTAGCTCTTGAGGTCTGCCATTATCCCTATAAAAAATTCCTTCTACTTTTGGGACATTCTGTATATAAATATATATAATAAATTATACAATTACAATAGGTGCAATAATGTTTAAAGAAAATTTATTTCTCCGTTAATGGGCAAGTTTAGATTTTATTTTGTATATACAAGAGTTTAAAAATGCTAAACAAAAAGGTGAGGTAAAATTACAATAGCAGTAGTATTTTAAGGATTTTTAAATAACTAAAAAAATTAGAATTAATCAAGCACAAACCTGTTACTGCCATGAATTTAACTTTATTTTCATACTAATTACCCATCTAATAACTTATTAGTGCTAAATCATAAAAGAAAAATTGGAATAAGAGAATTATCATGAATAATCAATTTCTTTTTGAGTATATATGATGATGGTAGAAGTGGATATTGAGGATAATAGAAGTGTAAAACTATTGAATAAATGTGGGAGAGAGATGAAATAATACAAAAAGTTAAATAAGAAAAAGTAAAATAAATGCTAAATAAATCAAAGACTTAAATGTGACTTGGTTAGAACTAAAAATTAAAAAGAAAATCACACATAGCAAGAAAAAAAAGAAAAAAAAAGGAGTAGACATTCTTTATCAATATATGCTAGAAGATAATTGTTGAATTTAGTAGATATATTAAAGAGAGGTATATTAACTTTGGTTCTCAGTCAATGAAAGTAAAGAGTAAAAATAAATAAACAATATTTATTTATTAAAATTGTAATTTAAAAGTTAAAAAGATATTTAGAACACCTTACTTCCTTTGGTATGGTAAATTTATAAGGACAAACCTTAGTATGAAATATGACACCTTCTTTGCGACAAGCTTAAGTTCAATTACCTGCTGGAGGTATTCATCCATAGCAAAAACAAACCGCACCGAAATTGTAAATTGCAGGATTCATTACGAGAGACAAAGAGTTGATCAATACTAAAAATTGGCATGGGTTTGGTAAATGTCTTGAACCAGAGACGTCAAGCAACATTGAAAAAAAATATTATATTTAATGTTTTCATTATTTTACTTTTTTACTTGCAGCTATGTATTGGCTTGTCCAGAAAATAATGATGGATTTTCAGTTTCCTTGAATACCTCTCAATATAACAAACTGTTTACATTTACTGGATTATTCATTTGTATGAATGTCAATAATTATTAATCCTATTTCAAATGACAATATTTGTTTACCTCTGTAGCATTTCGCAGTATAGAAATAATTCAGTCTTTAATAAAATGCCAACGCGTGATTTCCATATAATTTTGTTTTACGAGTTTGACCTCACCTGGAATAAGATCCAGATGGTCAGAAACATAACGGTGTCCTATTTTAGATTCTTAAACTCAACTAAACTGTAAAAGGGAACATCCATTAAAGTACAATACTGATTTAGTTTAAAGTTTTTGTGTGCCTCAACATTGCTATATCACCGGGAAAAGCTTGAAACAAGTCAATAGTTGCCTGAGATATAGGAATATATAAACGAATTAAGGCTAAATGCTGCTAAAACTCAGGCCATTGTCATTGGTTCCAGGCCCCTTCTTAGATCCCACACCAACTTTCCTTCACTTTACCTAAATAACCATCCCATCTCCTTCTACTCCTCTGTTAGAAAATTAAGCTTTTTCGTAGATCAAACCCTCTCCTGGAATCACCATATCTCTCATATCTCCCGCCATACAATTTCTACCCTCAAACTATTCCATCGCTTTCGCCATCTTCTAGCCCAAAATATCCGTAGACTCCTAGTATCCTCCCTCATCTTTCCCCACTTTGACTACAGCTGTGTGGTGTACGAAGGCCTCTCGGTGGAGCTCCGTGATAGACTGAACATTCTTATGAATAGCTTCGTAAGATTTGTAACTGGGACCCGAAACGGCCCCGTGTCTCCCACCACTACTCTGAGTTAGGGTGGCTCTTCCCCTCCTTAAGAAGGCAATATTTCCTAGGAACTTTCCTTTATCAAATCATTACTGATCATCGTCTTTCTTATGCCTACAACCTTCTCCAATTCAAGTCCTCAATCCATTTCCTCACCAATAGATCTCGACCTTCTGACCTATACATTCCTTCTCATAGATCTGCCTCATTCCAAAACTCCTTTGTGGCCCGCTCTGTCAACTCGAATTCCCTCCCTATTAAAATTCGGCATGCCGCCTCCGTATTCATATTCAAAAACATCCTGTTTCAAAAAGAGCCAGATACCTGCTAACTATTGACATTATATATTTATTGGATAGCAATAATATAATCATAAGATAATACTATTCTTTGTTAGGGAAAGTACATGTATTCCTACTTTTGAGGCCACTTAATGCATCTATTTTTTTAAAAATTCAATTATCACTAACGTTTTTTTAATATACTATAAAGTTTTTTATGAAAGGAACGTTTTTGTCTCTTTTTAGTTCTTCCTTTCTTAAAGTGTATATTTGTGCTGTTCTAACTTTATATTTAGTTTTAAAAATTTTGTTAATAATTTTATCTGTTTTGTATATAGCTGGTTCACTTAAGGTTTTCTTTACTTTTTAGTTTATTGTTTCTTATTTTAATATCTCCCAATAAAGATTTTAAAAAAAACAACAAAAACTTATTTATATTACGTTTCAAAATTTTAAGCCATAAGTAGTCTTTTATTTTTGTACAATTTTGTTATTCTAAAGAGACTTTGTTCCAGAATAAAGTTGTTTTTCTATCTATCTGTTATATATTGTATATGGAAACATAGGATATATTCCAAATAATACCTCCACCCTTTCATGCCCCGCAACCAGTGATCCTATAGTGTGGCCCCCAAATAATTTGTATAATTTGACGCCTATGTATTTAAAATTTATGTAAGCTCATAAATATTTTGAAAAATATAATATAAAATCTTAATTGTATCTTGGAGCAATCTTAATTGGCTCCAATTAACCTCCATAAAACTGTTCCACATATTCCAACTCTATTCCTACATGATAATCCCATCAAATTTTATCCCTCTATCAAAAACCTTGGAATAACCTTTGGTCAAACGCTTTCCTGGAAAAACGATCCAACATCTCCCGCCGTACCATTTCCACCTCCAAACATCTAAATTACTCCCATCACATATTTCCCCTTGAAACCCGTAGACTCCTAGTCACTTCTTTAATTATTCCCCACTTTGACTATTGCTGTACGGTATATGGGGGCGTCTCTGGGGATCTCGAGGCGAAACTGAAAGTTTGATAAATTGCTTGTACGATTCATCTTCGGAATCCTAAGTGACGCCTCTGTTTCCCGTTTATATGCAGAATTGAAATGGCTTTATCCTTCCTACCGTTGTAAATATTTCCTGGCATCATTATGGTCATTGGTTCATTATCCTATCCTCATCAATATGGAACTCCATCCCTTCCCACATCCGTCAATCCAATACCCTTCCTACATTTAAATCCCTCCTGTTCAATCATTTCTTATCCATCCAGTTCCCATAAAATTGTAAATAGATACCACTGTAAATATGTATATAAATTATTGGATCGTTCTTCATTATTTTCAATTTTTTAATATTAACTTATTTAAGTTAGAAAGTAACTTATATTTTTTTAATATGACTATTTCATTACTCAGCATTTTTTTTATGTATCTTTGAGGCTCCTTAGTGCACATTTCTGTCCTTCTGTATTATTCTAAAAGGACTCCTCCCAGAATAAATAAAGTATTATTATTATTATTAAAAATCGGAATGATTCCTATTTCTTGTAGTCCCTTGGATTTGGAATTATCAAGAGTCAACTGCAGTAATAATGAATAATTCTCTGTATTTCCTCTTATCCTCTAAAATTAAATGAAATGAGAAAGTTTAAAATATATATTTCTAAGTGTTTAGAGTTAATTACGTGAAGAGAATTTGGTGGTGCCTGATGGAGTACTTCAAGCACAACTTGATGCCTTCCTCTATTGGCCCATCGATCCTCTTAGCTCTTTGGATCACGTTGGCCAGGCTCTTCTTGAGCAGCTGCAGCTGAACGCCGAGGTCCTCCAGCGCGAAGAGGAAGAAGAAGGTCGATCCGAAGACGATGGAGGGTGTGTTCCAAGCTATCACGCATTCGCAATACCAAATGAAAGCAACCGAATACCATTGATACTTATCGAATGGGGTCCAGACTGTCACCATGGCTACCCTTACGAAACCTGTCGGAAAATATTTCATTTTATTGATCATATAATATTATCTATCTATATATATATATATATATATATATATATATATAAATGAATGTATGTCTGTCTGTCTGTTTGCAATACTAAACCATTCATCCGATCGACATGAAACTTTAGGAAGTTGTTCCGTACACTCCTGCACTAGCGGATTCAGGATTTAATTTTGGGGGGGGGGGCTTCAGCCCGAAAGTTTTTTTTTCATAAAAATAACGATAATTACTTTGCAAAAAAAGAGAGAAGCTAACTACCTATATGAAATGGTGTTTAAGTGATTCCTAAAGCCCTTTTAAATGTAATTACACGAACAATAATACTTTAAGAGATACTTTTTAAATATTTTTTTCGAAAAAACATGGTTATATTTTATTATTTTGGGGGGGGGGCTTCAGCCCGAAAGCACCCCCCCCGTAGATCCGCCCGTGCACTCCTGGGAAGGTTTCTGTCATAGTACTTCTGTCTTACGATAGTTTTATATATGTAAAAATAAATAAAAATAAATGTTTTTTTGTTCAAAGCCACAAAAAAAAAAGGTCGCTATAAACTGTAACGCCAAAACGGCTTTACCGATTTTAACGAAACTTGGCTAAAGTCTTCCCGTTTTTTATATACAATTAAAGTTTTTTTTTTAAAAGAACTTATCTATTTTGTCTCTTTTTCGTTTTTCCTTTCTTAAAGTGTATATTTGGGCTATTCTACCATTATATATAGTTTTGTTCATAATTTTATCTGTTTTTATATAGCTTGTTCACTTAAGGCATTCTTTACTTTTTAGTTTATTGTGACATATTTTAATGTCTCTCAATAAAGATGTATAAAAAAAAAACTTTTTAGTTTATTTTTAAAAATTTTATTTATTGTTTCAAAATTTTAGGCCAGAAGTACTATTTCATTTTTGTTATTCTAAAGGGCCTTTGTTCCAAAATAAAGTTGTTTTTCTATCTTGAATTGTGTATTCTTGTTTTTCTATCTTGACTTATGTGTATAACTTACTTTCCCGAAAACAAGCTGAAAAAATGTTACGATGAATTCAATATTTTATTTGCCGATATCTATAAAAAATACACAATTTTTTATATTTATTTGAAAGATTCCTAAATTCCCTACAAAATAAAAATAAAAAATCATCGAAATCTGACTATTCGTTGCAAAGTTATAGAGTTTTAAACATTTACTGCTTTGCTCTTCAGAAAAGTCCATTTCCATATTTTTTTAAATTTATTAATCGGAAATTTTATAATTTCTACAGTAATTGAAATTATCATTTGAAGAAGTTATATGATTCTCCTTATGTAGGTCAACACGCTCTTTATATTCATTTTTTATTCCCTCCAAATGTATTCTGGAAATAGAATGATACATTTCAAATATTTGATTTGCTATTATTTTAAAAGATTTAACTCTTGAGTACTACTTATCATCGTTTATGTTCCTTTTAGAAATAAGTTTTTATTGATTTCAGTTTATTTTATTTTTTAATAAATTCTTTTCTCAAACATTATGTTGGAATAAGGTTGTGCCGTTTACCGTAGGATTTCTTTCATGAGTATAGTTTATTTTTCCACTACAATTTTTGCAACTCTATATTTAATCAAGTTGTTATTAAGAAGAAGCAAGCAATCAATTATCTTAGAATAGGTATGCGAAATCTTTTGAGGAAGGTGGGAGGCAGATCTAATGCACACGAAATGAATGCAATGATAAAAGATAAAGTGCAATTACAATGCGTTGATATTTGAAAATTTTTAACATTGAAACAGTATCATAAAATATTTTGTACCATATGTGTTGATTTTACATCCAACCGATGGTGCATTTTTAATAAATATGTATAGTTTCACAATAGTATTAAGCCAAAATTTTAGGAGTTTAAACAACGAAACATTTACATTTTTATTTGCCATAAAATGATCAACACAAAGTTGAACATTAAATATAAAAAAAAAATAATAAAATTAAATATGAAAATATATGAGTGGCTTGATATGAAAGAACGGATTTCTGTCATTTTTAGAGAGCAGAGATAAAATTAATTTTAGTTTTATAAGTTCAACTCAGACTGTTTCTGATGATTAAGAATGACGGCGTATTCACTCAGATGATTACGAATTTTCAAGTTGTATCAGGAAAAAAAAAAAATCATTACAATTAGTTTTAATTGAAGCCATTTTACAGACAAATTTGTTTCCCAACTTTTTAAAAATGACACGATGTCTTTTGGTATTAATCCACTCAAATGTGCTTTCTATTTTCTTTCTTTTCCATTTTGCCAGGCTAAGCCACAGCAGCGCGTGGCCGGGTAAAGTTAGTTATTAAATATTTATTTCATTATATCATTAGACAATATTTCATAAACAAACAAAATGAACCTTAACACCTGCTACAAAATGACACACATACCTGAACTTACAAACAAAATTAAGGACGTGTTTAAAAATAATGACATGCCAGAAATCAAATTTTAGACAATACAATAATAAAAATCTGGTGTGTCCACTCACACGACTTTCCTACCTATTTCAGAAAACTTTTTATATCTTTACATATGTCCATCAAAAAACAAAAAGAAATTGAATTAGATTAATTTGTCCTGAAAATTTATCAAAGAAAAGATTTGAGTACGATTTATTTGATAAACTAAACAACTGTGACAAAACTACTTAGCTCGCGCATCTTGTCCCGAAATTTAAAGACAAGAATCTACAAATCCTACGTACAGTTCTTTATGGATGCGAAACATGGCCGCTTACATTAAGAGATGAGCAACGCCTTAAGGCTTTTGAAAATAAAGCATTGCGTAGAATATCCGGACCGAAGAAAGATGAGTTAACCACAGAACTCAAAAGGTTGCATAACGTCGAGTTGCGTGAACTGTATCCAGTTAATATAATTGAGGTGATTAGATCGCAGAGAATCAAATGGGCTTGTAAAATAGTTGGGCTTAGTAATGAAATACTTTCTAAAAAGTTGATATTTGCTGTACCCAATGGTAAACATCCGAGAGGTAGACCGAAGCGAAGATGGGAAGATTGCGTTAAAGCCGATCTGAAGGGACTGGGTTTGGACGGCGAACGGTGGAGGGAGGTGTGTAATAATAGATCGGTGGTGTCAGCATCGAACCTCCGGGATCGCTAAGCCTTTTCTTATTATTATTATTATTTATTTAATTTTATTTTATTAGTTTAAAATCGTTTATAAAAATATAAACTAGGGATTTGAAAATGAGGCATATAAGCAGACCCTACACGGTAATTCATGAATGAACGTCACAAGAAGTGCCAAGATTGCTTGGGATCGCTTTGATCATGAAGACCCTTACACGTTCAATCATTACTGATCATTACTTATCGTTGCTGACACCAATTTAGCTCAGTTGTAAACAAAGAAACAGCATAGATATGCTTATTTGGACATTGCCATTTATAATATTGGGCATCAAGAGAAAAACGGAGATATAATAATTACTTCCTAGTGCCTGAAAATCGTTTAGATCAAAGTTAGTAAAATATAAGTCAACTACATACAAAAATCTAGGAAAGGTATTGCGAAAATAATAAATTTGTTGATGAAAATGGGAAAAGAACTGATAAATATACACAGCATTAAAGTTTTTTTTTTCCTAAAGTAAATTGTGAAGTTTCCTCATTTTTTTTTTTTAATTTGTTGCCCACTTGACTATTTAAAAGAAATAGTTGAAGATGGTTTAAAATTATAAACAAGGGATATGAAAAATTATTTAACTATTAACATATAATGAAAATAAGAACTTTATAATGGTTGTGAGGCCATGGTAACCTAACCTATCCAGTAGTATGGTTAGCCCCCCCACTACTTTTACCTCAGTCTCCCCTCCACCTTTCGTGAATGAACCTTCAATTTCCGGATTTTCGGAAATCCGTCAGTCATGCCTATCAGTACTTTAATCATAATCAATCAGAATGTCATAGTGCCTTGGAATGCCATTCCGAATGACCATGTAGAGTTCGCTCTAAGGCATAGGTATGTCTTGATTTTTTACTATATATTTTAGAATTAACTCTCGAGTTTTCCCCATTTTTATCAATTCGCCATGACGACCATTAAAACCACCTTTGTCAGTTCACATTTAGGATATGTGGATAAAAAAATTGTGAGTGAAATATATCGATTATCTAACATCCTTATTTGGTGTATTTCAGACAGCTGAGTTATATCGATAGATGAAATATACCATACCATCATCAGGAGTTCCTTCAGAGGGGTCGAAGTACAAGATCTTCAACACAGGCCTCAGGACTGATACGGTGATGCAGGCACAAAATATGCATGAAACAAATATGCGTTGGATGAAATATTTTCTTCTTTTGGCCTTTTCCATTGCAGATCGTTTTGTTTCGAGGCATTCGTCATCCAACGTGTTTTCGTAATCAAAGTAATCCTTCCCAATGAGGCTAGAAATAAAATTAACATTAGAAATAGAAATGGAGAGATGAGAGAAAATTACTGTTGGAAGGTATAAACACCAAGTCTTAATCTACATATACCTAGTTCTGCTATAAATACTATTACAAAACTTTGTTTACATCCTTGGGTATTATTTAGATAATCCTTAACTCTATCAGGTTATTTTGTTTATATGTCAGGATAATAATTCCAATTAGTTTGTATTTTCTTTCGCTCAGTTAACATGTAGTGGGGTGATAAAGAAAACCGAATAGCTGTGATCACCTTACACAAAGTTGGAAAATCAGGTAAGAGATTTTCAACACTTCGAAACCTTTGAATATCAGCAGTATGTTCGTGTACCGCACTATAAGTAAATATAATGAGACCCTATCTGTATGTGACAGACATAGACCGGGCCGTCCCCGCACTATACGAACGACAAATGCAGTGAGAGCAGTAGCTGCTCGAATTAGAAGAAATCCCATTCGAAAACAACAAATCATGTCTCGGGGAATGGGAATCAATGTCTTGCATAGTAAAAAGTGACCTTAGGATGGATGTATTTCGAAGAATGACAGATAAAAGCTAACCACTTCACTTAAAAAAAAATAGAGTGGATAGATGCAAAGTGCTCCTTGGAGACACACCAATGGTCTTCATCGAAAGATTTTGTTTAGCGATGAGACAATTTTTATAAATGAAGAAAAATTTAATCACCAAAATGCTCGTGTGTAAGCACACAGCTCTGAAGAAGCCCAGGAAGTCATTGGAATTTAATTAATGCTCCTTTCTCGATTACTTCAATCGTTTCAGAGTTATGTTAGTTAATTTGATATTTGTGATGATTTGTTTTGTAGTCCGAGGCGTGGGCGTAAAAATGTTTCTAGTTAACTTTATGGAGGAAATTTTCTCTTTATATTAATTCTATCTATAGTTATTTATTATCTCTCATTATAAATAAGTTAAAACAAAATAAGATTAAATGAAATAGAAAAAAAAATACCCCCTTGGAGCTATATACAACCAAAATTAAATCTCCAAATTCACCAAACATTGTACATTACCTGCAGATTATAAAGAAAAGTTCCACAAAATAATCACCACTTTGCCTGAACACCTTTTAATATTCACCGACGGATCCAAATCAGATACATCTACAGCATCAGCCTTTGTCACCCCTGATACAACATACAAATATAAACTACACCACCTTTGTAGTGTTTACACAGCAGAGATTGACGCCGTAGCAATGAGTCTCCGATACATCATGAAGAAGCCAGTTGCAAATGTAGTTGTGGTATCGAATTCCCTAAGTACTCTAGAAGCCATCCAGGGATACACTGCATTTTAAATCTTATAAAAATGGTTCATGGAGTTAGAACAACGGCACATATTATCTGGTTTATAATAACAAATTGTGGTAAAGCTTTTTTGACACCATCTGAACTCGCACGACCTCTAAGAGAAACCATTTCCCAAGAATGGCAAAGACGGTGGGACAACAGCTCACCTAGCAAATTAAACACAATAAAGAAAGAGGTGCAACCGTGGACCAGCTCCAGATGCAGCAGTCGTAGAAAAGAGGTCGTCCTCACGCGGCTGAGGATCGGACATACTAGACTGACTCACCTCCACCTCATAACAAAACATCTTATCCCCAGATGTCAAAAGTGTAACCAATCACTAACTATAAAACATATTTTGGAAGAGTGCCCTTTTTACACCGCAAGGTTAAAAGATCTCGGAATACCCCAGAATATATCAGCATCTCTGAGAAATCAAGAAGAACAAATCATGACCAAACTTATGAAGTTTCTAGACAACGAATGTCTTATAAAACATATATAAGTTTATAACTAATGGTCCTTAACAGATTTTTTAAAAATAACAAAAAACCAAATCGTTAAAGCCGTTTTTGAGAAAATTGTAGAAATGTGTTTCAGCGTTGATATAAAGTGGCACTTCCGGTTAGCCGATTTTATAGAAAAAGTTGCTGCCACATCTAAGGCATATAACTATCTTAAATATGTAACATCAGTTTCGTAAGACTTTTCGGTTTTGAAGCTAGTGTGTTCACAGACTCACATAGACCATTTTTCGGGACTTGATTATTTGGACTCAGGAGACCTCAAAATGTGTATTTCTCAGATTAAAAAAATTTCACGATCGCAATACTTACACTTACTATATATAACATATGTAGGTAAGTGAACGTAATAAACTTCCTTCCTCTTTATAAGATAAGTGACATTTTAATTGTATGTATTTGAACCACAACTTGTAATTTCGATGAGTTTAAAAAAAAAAATATTATCTAAAAAAGGTCATTGTCTAAATAACCATAAGGTTTGTCACTGTTTTTTTTTCTTCTTTAATAAAACGTTCTTTTTTAATTTAAAGAATAAAAGTAGATGAAAATAATCAATCGAAAAATCGTTCATAAGAATAGTTAAAATAATCGAATTTAAATACAGAATCGGAGAAATCTTCAAACTACGTATTTGCAGAATGTGAGAACTTTCTAATAACTATAGAGAGAATATCCTCCATAAAGTTAACTAGAAACATTTTTACGCCCACGCTTCGGACTACAAAACAAATCACCACAAATGTCAAAACTAGCTAATATAACTCTGAAACGATTGAAGTAATCGAGAAAGGAGCAAGATTTAAATATGGAACAGTTATTAAAACGCTGAAAATTTTAACATAACGGTTCATTATTTTCAAATAGTAATCTATTAAATATTAAACTACTTTTCTTGTAGGCATCGATAGTGGATATTATACCATTGGTAGTATTTACTTCGATATTTTAAAAATTAAATTTAAAACTATCGTTTTCGGAAAGCGCTAAGAATTATATATGAATCTGATCGTTAGAAAAACAAATTATAATAGAAGTGACCAGTAGAGGAAAATATCGATATTTCAATTAAATCGATTATAGATGGCTATAATAGTACGTCCCTCTCACTGACAAGGGACGTGGGGTCACCGATTTCAATCATTTTTTTTTTGGGTTATACTAGGTCGAAAAATATTAGACCCACGTCCGATGGTTCTTGCCAATGCGCTCTAGGAGCCTAGAAAAAAAAATATCATTTTTTTATGTTACTGTTTTTTTACTTAGCTCTGAATGAATTTTTAAGTTATTATATATCAATCAATTTTTTTTTTTGTGTGTAAAATAAGAAAATATATTGCTTATTGTATTAAACGAAATCTTATATACAATAAATTACAAAAACCCATAGACACTTCCAGTAAAATAGACCAAGAAAATTTTTCTCATGAAAAAAATATTCAGATTCGTTTTAACGGTTCACTAAAACTCTTGAATACGAGTTTGTTTTTAAATAACAAAATATAAATTTTTAGACGACATTTTATGGCAGGATTCCTTTTCATGCCGTTTACTAAAATATTCATAACTCCTCAGATTTTTCTCCTAATTCGACGTTACTACAACCGCTGGAAAGCTAAATTACTTCTTTTCAAAACTATATCGATTACTTTGATATTTCACGCTTTTCTGAGGAATAAATAAATAAAAACTTCCCAAACGTTTTTATGTTTTATCTCCAAGCTTAATCTATTTACGGGATTCTGCTTAGTCCAATTTTGTATAGATTACAGGCCCGGAATTCATGCTTATTTTCCTGTGGAGCCATGTCAAATATATCACAACTTTTGTTAATTTCGAAAAAAAAAATTAAGGCTCCCATAATAGATGGATCTCACAAGTGCTATTAATACAAGGCAGAATATTGAGCAAAAAATTTACATTTTTTTATTGCAACGAAAATGCTTATTGATGGGCTTTTAGTAAAGTAGCCGATATGCGCGACCAAGGCTTGTGTTAGTCTTGCAGTTGCCTATTAGCTTATTACTATAAAGATATTACTGTAATTTTATAAATAGGAGAAATCTAACAAAACCCGAATGAAAAATTAGATGAGTTAATGCAAAAGTATGTTAGTTATACCAATTCTTTACATATATTAAAGAATTGTCGGGACAGTAACCGCCCATCTCCCCCCCCCCCAAAAAATAAAATAAAAATAAAAGTAAAACAAATTATCAACCACCTACCCCTACATATTGCTGGTTAATATTTTTTAAAAAATCGGTTGGGGGGAATGTCACCTCCATCTCAATCTCCCCAAAAACAAGTAAAACAATACGTTTAAAAAAATTTAATTGACATTTTAAAATATTAAATGTCAGTTAAATAAGGATTAATTCCCTCATTCTCTCTCTTCCCTCCAAAAAAAAAGATCCACCCAAACAAACATAGTCCCCCCCACTCTAACCAAGAGGGTCACCAGACATTTTGTATCGACCAGAGCTTCTCAAGATCCATATATATGGATTAATATTGCTCAATATAGCCTTTACACGTGCAATTATATTGACACTGTTTCAGTAATATTGAAGGAGTATCAAAAAAAAAAAAAAAAAAAAAAAAATTACATCAACCAGTTTGATAGACGTTGGTAGTAGGATAGCTCTGTGGTAGAGCACCGATCTTCCAATGTTCCAGGTTCGAATTCCACCGCATGACAGAAAAATTATTTATTCTGTTTCATTGACCGTGGGGCGAATTCTGAACCCTCCTGGGGCAAACCCAGACTATAAAGTGGAAAAAAAATGGCGGATGAGCGTGATCTCAGTCAAATCATCTCCTTCCACAACCGTTTACTAAGAAACAGCACTTTCCCTAAATAGTAGTGAACCCAAAACTCTTGATTTATAGTGGTAAAGGTTTATTTTTTTATTGACCGCAATATAATTGCTGTAGATCATACGCGGTCAATATATTGACGAAACTCAATATTGACCATGTAATGGGACCATTACAAAAGAAATAATCTAATTCTGAATTTTCTATGCAATTTCAAATCGTGGAACGGACTCGTAATTCTAAATAAATGGTGACCCGATAATATTAAATACGCTTCATATATGAATCAGTAAACCTTAGCAAATATATAAATAAAATGGTTGAGGAAATAAATGCCGAAATCTGTAGTTTAACCTCAAGATCCTTCAAGCTAAGATGAGGAATATAAACATGGAAATTAACATCTCCAAAACAAAATTTATGAGCATCGAGAGAAGAAAGACCGAGGAGACCGGATCGTTCGGCTGGGTGGAATCCCCCTGGAGCAAGTAAAGGATTTTAAATACCTGGGTGCTCACCTCAACGAGTTCGGATGGGTTGATGGAGACATTAAAGAGAGAATTAAGATGGCAGGAAAATGCTTCTACTCCCTCAAGTCAGGCTTCTTGGGCAAGAAGGAAGTCTCAAAGGCCACTAAGAAGATTGTCTCCAAGAATACTTTCCTCCCTATATTGACATATGCAAGCGAGTCTTGAAAGTCTTGGAAGCGATAACTTCGCTTCCAAGCACAAAAGCCAAATCCAAGCTACGGAAATGCGATATTTAAGGAAGATAGAGGGGAAAGCAAGAGGAGATTGCGTTAGGAATGTGAACATATGAGGTAATCTGGAACTGAGGCCTGCAGAGGAAATAATCCAAGAAAATCAACTTAGGTGGTTTGGACATGTCTCGCGAATGGCTGAAAACAGAATTGCCAGGGCTACCTACGAGGTCAAAGTGGAGGGAAGGCGGCCACAGGGAAGACCAAGAAAAAGATGGGAAGAAGGACTTAAAGAAGCTTTTGACAGGAGAGGAATGGACTGGAGTAGGAGAAGACAGCTGGCCCAGGATAGAGATTCGTGGATCAGACTCTATAAGAACTCACACTACTCAGCGGTAACAGAGGACTGGATTAAGTAAGTAAGAAATGAAATACTAGCTTTTGTAATTTTTTTACGTAACTTATTGAACCAGGTACTTACGTGTATATGGATATGATTAACTTCCTCTTTCTCAGTAATGTGATCATTCCTAATATCTCAGCTGACACTAATATTATGAAATGAACATTCTCGATGGCAGCGACGAGGTCCGACTTGTAGATCTTGACGACGGTGATCGTCATCAGCACGTTCAACACCGAACCTGTGATGACGAAGTTCACTGGGATCCATAATGGACCTGCAATGAGCAATATAACAAAACAAAGGTATGTACTTTAGACCACATGATAGAAGTGAAAACATCGACAAGACGGGATTAATAATATGAAATATAAATCCCCGTCCCCACGTATATTATTACAATAATACTCGAAATCGGTTCTGTACCAAATATAAGCTTCTGTCATGCTCAAATACCATGAATGGGGTAAATTTTTTTTTTCATTTTATTATTTATGTTTTCTTATTTTCGATTAATATTCATTAGGAAAGTTCTATTATATCCAATTTTATTTAAAAATAACTATATATTTGGCACATAGCTATAATATCAGTACGACGTTGAAAAAATTTGTGCTGACCGAAGGACGAAAGTGGGTTCAAATATTTTTTTTAAGGGAAAACAGAGTTGAGATTTGTCTTTCACACCTCTATAAAGCCTCAAATACGAATTTTCGTAGAAATAATTTTTTTTTTTTAACCATATCGGAACCAAGCCTCCCCCCCTTCGATCTTCTTTCGAAAATAACAAAAAGTGGGATAACATAAAAATGAATCCACGTATCCTCACGAAAATTTACATTAAGTTAAGACTACATAAGCTATAAGGATATGACACAAACCAGACCCCTGTAAATATAATAGGACTAGAGATATCAAACAAAAACCTTTGAGGAGTTTTTCGATGTTTATTGTTTTTAAACGCGTCAAATCTAAAAGTTATTGATGTAGTGTTGAAGAATAATAACTCAGCTTTCCAACGATCATAGATACATTGAATTCGGAGAAAATCCTGAGGAGTTACGAATCAAATACTAAATAGCAGATGGAAAAACGAAACAAAAAGTCAAACCGCGTTTCTATGGGAACGCTATCAATAAAATATTGCTATTCCTAACCCTAATCATTACATTCCCATCCCCACATATATTATTACAGTAAGGCTGGAAATCGGTTTTGTACCAAATATAAGCTCCTGTCATGCTCAAATACCATGAATGGGGTACCGTTGGATTCAGAATTTCACGGGGGGTTAGCGAATCGTATTCTCCACTTTTGTTTTTCCTTCTAAAATAAATAAAGTCGATACAAACATTTTTCTAGGCTTCAATACTGGAACGATCGATACGGGGCAAATTGGATCTTGAAGATTTTGATAACAAGACCAGGATCCTGCTTTTTCCAAGTCCAAAAACGTACTATTTTCGAGATAACGCAAGGCATAGGGTTCGCATCCACACAACCTTACATTAATTGTAGTACTGCCATTGAATACATGTCTCATTTCGTCGACTTGAGGTCTCTATGATCGAGAGAGAGGGAGTTTATATAATTTATCAATGGTGTTTTTGATCATTTCACCGAATCTCAAGATTGAGCCACCAATTTCGAAGGTTTCCTTCTCCTTCAGGCAGGCAAAATAGTCCAATCACCCCGAAAATTCAGGCAAACAAGTTATGAAAGAAAACAAACTTTATTTGCGAATAACTAAAAAATTACACACTTTTTCCTTGGTTATTCCCATGATTATATAAAAGATTACTAAATCCCCTACAAGAGGAAAAAAAAAATCATCGAAATTTGCTTACTGAAATCGAATACAGCTTACTGAAATTTGTGAACATTTTTGGTTCCAAACAAAAATGAAGATTTAAATTAATTTTTGTTTTCTTTGTCGATTATATTTATCTATAAAGTAACAATTGATTTCTTTATCTTTTGATACGTTGCATTATTTTCTTATTAATTTGGCATTTGATAACAATATGCTGTGCGAATTTTTCGCTCGGGCCTACTAGTTATTAATAATAGCTCATTATAAGGAGGATGAAATGCTGAACAATTCACTCGCTTACAGTATGCAGGTCCGATTTTTAATTTCTGAGATATTTTAAATTTAAATTTAAATTTAAAGAGGAATGGACTGCAGTAGGAGAAGACTTCAATAAAATTCGTTATTTGGTTTTCGACATTATGTTTTATTATTACTTTCTGTTTTTTATTTTCGCCTTGCGGGGTGAGGCGAGAAGTCCAGCCATTTTCATGTTATTATTTAGCTTCCCCACTACCGAAGGTAGGGAAACTTTGTATTCGTGCGAGAGGTAAAAAGAAAATTGTATATATGAAATATATGTATATATTTATAATTTATTATTTCGTAGGCATAGTATTTTTTCCCTTGTATCCATCCATATCTTCAAATTCCGCAAATTCAGGTCAGCACAATTCCCCAATACCTACCCTTACCCTTATTTTTCAGTTTTAAATGAAACTCCTAGCTGAACACACCTGTAAATCTCTATTTTTATTTTATATATTTATTTATTTATTCTTGGGTTTCTTTTCTTTCTCCACATTCCTATATGTATATTATTTCATATTATACCCTTTTTCCTTCTTTTTCAATCTCTCTCGTAGATCGGTAGAAGTATATTCACATTTGCATATATCATATATTACACTTACCATCTATTTATTTGAGTTTAGGATCTTGTTACTTAGCTTACTCTGTTTATATTTTAATTTACATACTGTTTATAATTTTAATAAGCTTATTCACATTATTTATAATTTTTGTCTAAATATTATGTAACTTCCACGATTCTCTATCTTTTTGTATCTTGTCCGTTCTAGCCCTGAATAAGACCTGCAAAGTCGGTTCGAAACGTCGGCTTTTAATAAAATAGTTTTACCACAATTTAGCCTATTTATGACCGCCACCCGGCACCATTTCCTTCCTTTATAATGCGACGGTCAACAAATTCCACTTGCGTTTTAATTTTCAGTCATCAAGGATCAAATTTGGTTCGCTGTCTTTTTGTAGTCAAATCGATATGACGAACATATCATCAACTACCATTTAAAATTTTAAATTTTCTGCACGAAATGTTTGCATAGACTGAATCTTTCCAAATTTCATCAACAACCACAAAAGCTATGATAACTTTAGAAGAATCAATACAAAAATAAATAGGGATTTAGAGCTCTATATGCTACACGAAATTATACAAAATTGACTTCCGTAAACAAATTAAAAACAAAGACATTTATATTATATTATATTTGCAACAGCGTTTGAAATCATCCAGGAAATAGGGAAAAAAATCAAAATTGGGGTCGAAAAAATCTAACCTCAATTTTGAGAGGAGGAGGTGAACTTTTTTTTTCTGGGTCAATTACAAAAGTCGATTATTAAAAAAATGAACCGAAATAAAATTATAATAAACAAGAGCCAGAGATTATGTTATAAATTAAGTATAATACCTAAAAAAAAGCCTCCATACATCAACCATATTCCCTTGTTCTCTTTGAAAGCTTTCTTGAAATATATGTTATCCTCAGGAGCTTCGACATCTGAAATAATGAAACAAATGTAACCTCTTTGTATGCCAAAGTACAAAAAAAAAATGTATATATTAATTTCTTGCAAATATTGGTCTTTATACAGGATATCTCAGTTCTTAATGGATTTCGAACGGGAAATGAGCTAAGTCCAATTTTGTCTTAAGGTGATCACCGTTTTGCTTTAGTAAAATGCGATAACACAAAAACTATTGAATTCAGGCAATTGCCAAATGCTTTATAGTAAATTTATCTAGTCTACAATGAAACATTTTTTAATTATTTGAATTCTATATTTTTTGTGTTATCGCTCACTATGAAAGAGAAAACTTAACTACTTTAAAGAAAAGACAAAATTGGACTTAACTCATGTTTTGTTCAAAATCGGCCAAGCTATAAAGTGAACCTTTTTTGTTGGAAATTTTGTCTAGAATCACCTCCTAGAGTTTAGCCATTAAGAACTGAGACAATCGATTTTATTTATCACTTGTCATCTATAGAATGTTCCGATATATTCTATAAATCGATTCTAAAAAAAAAAAAATTGTTCCACTTTTATCCCAAGTGGAATCGTTTATGTATTAAATGACTTACCTTCGCTCTTTATCATTTTGGAAACGCCTATGATAAGACCCAGAATGGCACTTCTAACCTGTTACATCTGCTTTTAAGGTCGTTTATAAATTCACATATTCACGTAAGTGACGTGATTATTTATTAAATGTATTTTTTTTTAGGAGAATGACATTGAAATAAAGCAGGTGTCAGAATAAGGCACAGCCACATAAAAGTAAAAAAAAGTTCATGAATCAGTGATGGCCCATAACTCGGTATTCGGGTCGGGGAAAACGCCTTTCTTTAGAATTCAATTTTCGATAAATATTCCTTTCCTAGATATACTTTCGTAAGAAGAACACCTCGTATATTTTACCTGGACTTCTAAAGACTCAGTAAATATCAATAAATTATTTATTATTTTGTCTAAAGTAAGTGATAAACCACCCGATTTATTTTTAAATTTTTGTACTGAAAAATAATTATATACAAATACATACATACATACACACACACACCCACGCTCGCTCGCATGCACGCACGCACACACACACACACATATATATAAATAGAAAAATAATATTATTCTAGGACGAGATCCGGTAAGAATAATAAAATGTTACAGTACATAAGAAATATTTCTGGTCAGAACACAATACGTAGAACTATTCATAATACAAATAAGAAATGGAACAAAATAATTGCTGCTTAGATAATAATTAAAGAAAACAGGAAGAAAAGAAATAAATTTCTCTAATAGATGAGTAACAAGATAGATAGATAGAAGGAAATTCCTGTACAAATAAATATAATGGCATAATTAACAATGTTAGATCTTGAGTCTAGTACTGCATTCAAACATAACATTAACAATGTCCGCAGCATTAAGCATGACTAATATAATAACAGGTTAGTAAACGATATATATATATATATATATATATATATATATATATATATATATATATATATATATATATATATATATACACATAACAATTAGTAAAACATTTTTTATTTATTTTTTTTTTTTTTAATATTCGAGAGGTATAAGACAAATGACAATATAAATAAGCATTAATATATGTTATATGATTAACTATACCACTTAACAGTTCAAAGAACTGCCCTGTATGAAATGATACAGTTGGTTTATTTTTTTCGTAGTGTCTATTTTCAGTATCTCCTCCACACTAGCATCTTCTCTGGATTCAGTGATAAATGCCTTCAAGTACTTATTTCTCGGTTCATTGAACTTGATACATTGGATCAGAAAATGAGTTACCGGGTCAGTTACAAGGCAGTTGCATGCACCACACACCTCACTGGATTTAATAGTCAAAGTAGCATATTTTAAGTATATTTTGATAAAATTTTTACTTGCTACTCTGAGACGACTAACGGCTCTTAATTTGTTTAAATTCAGAGCCCTGAACTGAAGATAATCCTCTGGTCTGGTAACATTAAAGGAGCAGATTTTTCTATATCTTGGGTTTGATTTAGAGTTTAACACTCTGTCGATGTCCTTGGATGCGTGATGGTTTCTTATTTTTTCCATGATTTCATCTTTGAACCTCATCAGACCTTGAGAGAAAACACAAGACAACATCCCCTGACATCCGAGTTCCGCCACAATCATCTTTACTTGGGAAACCCAGTTATAAGTTGGATCAGGTTTTCCAATGGATGAGTCTAGAGTTCTAAGCCTATTAAAGCATTGTCTAGGTAATCTTTCGTCACTCATTAAGCTTAGCTTTGTCCAATAGTTGATCACTTTCAACACTTCAACACTTAATGGAGATCTCCCACTTTCAAGGCGAGTCACATAGTTCGGTGTATTTCTTGGCCAATGGAGCAGTGATTTGATAAATCGAACTTGAGTCCTCTCCAAAACCTTCAGGTATCTCGTCCCCCAGATCTCTGCAGCATAGAGCAGTGTTGACGAGACCATCGAGTCAAAGAGGCTGGTTTTTGTCTCCCAAGAGTCGCTTTTTCCATTTCTTAGGATTGCCATCACTTTGGTCGCTGCAACAGATGATCTATGTAAGAAATGCTCCGCGGCTCTCTCAAATTTTCCAGAAGAAGAAAAGAGTACACCCCGATATAGATGAGTATCAAGTAAAATAGATAAAGTAGAGTAAAATATTTAATAAAATGTATTCTATCTTAGTACATAGAAATTTTTTTTTCTGACGCGAAACAGCCCCGAAGCACTACGCGACTATGAACCTGGTTTCTTTTTTAATTTCCTCTTTTCGGCCCATCTCTGCTTGAGGATATCGCTAAATTTTTTCTTCTTCTCCTCCGTCCACTTCCTCTTGGACGGAAGTGCCTTACTCTCCACCAGATGCACCGCACTTTTCAGGAATTTCTCCTATTCTGTCCTATCCTCACATAATTCCCATGTTATCCCAAGCCTCTGTATTTCCTGTTTTATTTGTACCTTATATCCATGGTTAAACTTGTATCCCATAACCCTACTGAAAATCTTCTTGTTTAACCTCTCCTCGGTCATCCTTTGTGCATGTGTCCATAAAACCTAAGTCTCTTCTTACCCTCATTTCCGTTTCCATATCAGTGGGTTCACTGTTAATCTCCTAATTGGATTTCAGTCTGTATCCTTCTGGTGTTATTTTGAGCCCATGGATTCTTCTAAGAATCCTTCTTTCTATTCTCCAAACTGGGGAAGAAGATTATCTCCGTTCCGTACAGTATCACTGGCTTTACCACTGTATTGTAGTGCCTAATTTTGGAATTTTTTATTATAACAACATTAACATGTATATATATATGACTGAAACGTATATATGTATATATGAATTTATATGTATATATATGACTGAAACGTATATATATATATATGCATTTATATGTATATATATGACTGAAACGTAAAACGCGAGTGGAAATTTTCGATTCTGAGCACAATTTTTTTTTTTTAGCCTCTCGTTGGAATACAATGCTTCCTTATCTTCGATAGTGAGAAAGCGAAAGATTTTTGAAGTGGAACATACTTTAGGCGCGTTTTACAATTTTATTTGTGGAGAGTTAGCTTGTGCCGTCAGATCTCCGATGTATAATGCCCGGGTAAAATCGGCCGGAATCAAATAATTGAAGTGTTTTTGCATATGGATTAAAATTTCTCAAAAACTAAAAATCGGACCGGCGTATTGTTAGCAATGGAAATGTTTATCATTTCATCCTCTTTGTTCAACTATTATTCAAAATTGTATCTTAACGCGAGGCCGTGTTAGAAAGGCCAAAAGGGGAAACATAGAGTCGGAAACCAAACTATAACGATTTTTAAAGAAAGGAGATGGCCCGGAGTGGCGGTTATAAATAGAATAAATAGTGGCAAAACTATTTTATTAAAAGCCAACGTTTCGACACGACTTTGCAGGTCTTCTTCAGGGCTACAACGGACATTTATTTTCTAACCATGTCTCAATATTATCTAATATTTAAATGTAATTTTCTTACATATGTACTACCAAATATAATTATAATTATTCATTTTTTCCCTCTGTATACTTCTAAGTTAGTTCTGCAATGTATGATATCTTATTTCTATATTTATATTTTACTTCTATGTTCGTTTTACTTCTTCCATTTTTGTTTATATTCACATTGTACTCCTATCTATAATCTCTCAATTTTATTTTATATGTATATGTATATATTTATAATTTAATATTTCATAGATTTAGTTGTTGGTTTGTTTGGATATCTAGGCGCAAAACATCGAGGTCATAAGCGCCCGATCAACTAAATAACATCATTTAATACTATTTGGATGGTTGGTACAAAAAAAAAAAAAATAAATAAAAAAAAAAAAAATATATTAAAAAAATAAAAAAAACAAAAATAAATAAAGAAAGAAATGGATTGATAGAATAAAATAAATAAATAAGGATAATAATAGACATTTATAGGTAATAAGATGTATAAAAAATGTATAAATAAATAAACTTTAAAAAATAGCAGTAGAATCAATAAATGAATTGAGATTAATAAACAAATGAATTTAAAATGAAATGAAATCAAGTGAAAAAATAAATAAATAAATAATAAGAGAAAATATAATAAAAATAAATAGATTAAAAAAATTAATAAATAAAAAAAAGCCTGTCAAATGTGTTTTTTAAGTCTTTCACTATCCAGGAACTTGATGACTTTGGTAACAATTTCTTCTTGATTTCCCAGGGATGCTGATATATTCTGGGGTATTCCAAAATCTTTTAATCTTGCGGTGTAAAAAGGGCATTCTTCCAAAATATGTTTTATAGTTAGTGATTGGTTACACTTTTGACATCGGGGGATAGAATCTTTTGTTATGAGGTGGAGGTAGATTAGATTTAGATTTTTTAGATAGATTTAGTATTTTTTCCATTGTATCCATCCATACAATTTTATATACTCCATACTTCGAATTTTAGATACTATAATTTTCTATATTTTTCTCCATTACCCAAACAATTCAGCAAACTCCCCAATACCTGCCCTTACCCTGCTTTTCCATTTCTAAGTGAAACTCTTATCTAAACACAACTGTCTCTAATTTTATTTACTTACATTTTTAATTTTTTTGGTTTTCTTTTTTCTTTTCTTTATCCACATTCCTTTATGTCTTTTATTTCATATTACATGCTCTTTTTTCAATCTCTCGTAGATCTGTAGAAGTATATTCATATTTGCATATATTATATATTACACTATAGCAATTGTTACCATCTATTTACTTTAGTTTAGGATCTTCATACTTAGCTTTCTCTGTTTATATTTCCATGTACTTAATATTTATAATTTTAATAGAGTTATTCACATTGTTTATAATTTTTTGTCTAAATGTTATGTAATTTCCACAATTCTCTATCTTTTCATATCTTGTCCGTTCTAGCCCTGAAGAAGACCTGCAAAGTCGGGTCGAAACGTTAGCTTATAATAAAATGGTTTTGCCACTATTTATGACCGCCACCCCGAACCATTTCCTTTCTTTATAATGCAACTATTAACTATTAAATAGTTATTAAATATTCAAACTAACGATTTTTATTGAAGATATCTATTAAAATATTACAGAAACTAAAAGTCGTATCCGCATAATGTAAGTAAGGGTTTCATCAGTTCAGTATTTCATCCTCTTTACCATGAGTTATTATTTATAATTTATATTTCATATTCATAAACCTTGAAGAACTGGAGAATTAAAATAGATTCCAATAAATCCCACCAAATTACTTTCACTCTTCGTCGTAAACCAATCCTTTAACAACACCTCACTTATTCCTCTTGAACAAATCCGTTACCTAGGACTCCATCTGGACAAACGTCTAACTTGGAATCCTCATACCAGACTGAAACGACAAGAAACAGCTCGACGTTTCCGACTACTTCAACACTTACTAGATAAACGCTCTAACCTTCCAATTAATTAAAAAAGACTTATTTACATGACTATAATAAGGCCTATTTGGACTTACGGAGTTGAGCTATGGGGCTCCACCAAACCTTCAAATTCCTCTCGCATCCAATCCCTATAATCCAAAATCCTTCGTAAAATCCTCAATGCTCCTTACTTTGTTACGAATAAAATTATCCATAATGACCTTAATGCTCCTTATGTATCAGATTTGGCCCAATCCAGATACCCATCCTTCCATAATAAACTTCAGAATCATCCCAACCCTCTCGTTTCTAACCTTGCTTCCTCTTAAATTCCTGATAACCCTCCGAGGCGTTTGAAAAGAAGATGGCCACGTGATCTCCTAATATAGACATATTATTAGAGTGCTACCATTGGGTAGTTTCTCAACATGTGTTTCATGTTATTATATCCATGTGCGAATTTACCAGATGTATTTTTTGTATACAGTTGTAAATATCATATAAATAAATAATAAAAAAAAAATTTTTTACCTCTATTCATATATTTTCAAACCTTTTTACATTATATTTTTTTAAATTAATGGGTCAAGAAGTAAAATTGGCTTAATGAAATATATAAAAAAGTTCATTGAATATTTAATAGTTGACCGTTGCATTATAAAAGAAGGAGATGGTCTTGGGTTGCGGACATAAATAGGCTAACTAGTGGTAAAACTATTTTATTGAAAGCAGACGTTTCGACCCGACTTTGCAGGTCTTCATCAGGGAGGTGTGTTCATCTAGAAAACACTTAGAACTGAGTGAAACTCCTAGATGAACACACCTCCCTGATGAAGAGCTGCAAAGTCGGGTCGAAACGTCGGCTTTCAATAAAATAGTTTTACCACTATTTAGCCTATTCCTTATGTATCAGATTTGGCCCAATCCAAATATCTGTCCTTCCATAATAAACTTCATAACCATCCCAACCCTCTTGTTTCTAACCTTGCTTCCTATTCAATTCCTGATAACCCTCCCAGGCGTCTGAAAACAAGATGGCCACGTGATCTCCTAATATAGGTATATTATTAGAGTGCTACCAATGGGTAGTTTCTCAACATGTGTTCCATGTCATTATATCCATGTGCGAATTTACTAGATGTATTTTTTGTATACAGTTGTAAATATCATATAAATAAAGAAATAAAAAATATTTCATATTATTAATCTAACCTTGTTTATGTTTTCACTTCTATCGTGCGGTCTAAAACACACACCTTAGTTTTTTTTTTATTGTTTAGTAGTTTTTTTTTCTGCAAATTTCTAAAGTCATAGGTTGGCAGAAAAAAAAATCTATCAAAGGATTTGATTTAATACAGAGACTGGACCGTATCCCTATAGGGAAGACTCTCTTAAAGAGAAGCAGTTACTAAATAGGCCAGTCTTGGTTAATCTAATAGACTGATACATAGCCCTCGGTAGAAAACGGCCCATTTTTCCCTCAGAAGAGAAAAGAAAATCGTGGACTTTCCACCGATAACGTGCCTATAGAGGCTGATGAGCCCAATAAGTACACCTGCATAATAAGACGACAAAGCCGGAAGGTGGGGGGCGTCGAGGGGGGGTCGAGGGGGATAAAAGGCGGATCTAGAAGGCGCGGCGGCTAGTCTGCAACTTCCGCTGTGATGTTTCCGATCCTCTGCCTCTTCCTCTTCGGCCTCGCCGACGCACAGAACGCCACCCACAACCAGGTTCGTCCAATCCATTTTTTTTATTTTTAGTGAGTTTCTCGAAAGACAGAAAAAATCCAAAATTCTCTCTTTTTTTTTCTTTTTTTTACAATAAATTAGCCCAATTTTCACCAACATTTTATTGATAAGCATTAATTTTGACGTTTCGACCATACTAAGGGTCATTTTCAAAATTGGAAAAATTATAATATCATTATTAGTTAATATTCAGCAATTACAAAAAAATTTCTTATTACATTTAATTGACTTGTCTAACGTTCTATGTCAAATTATTTCCGATACTCATAAATTTATCTAAAAATATACATAAAGTATACACTTTTTATTATAAAAAAAAACCATACATGTACGTAACTATAAACATTAAAACTTTAACATTAAAAACAAATGACTATTACCTTGATGAGTCCTCCGTTATATGTTCATCATTAATGTTGTAATTAATAAGTTCAATGAACATTAACTTGTTAATTTATATAGGGGCTTGGACCACGTCATTTCTGGAGGGACTGACTTATATCGTCCTGGTGGGGATATTCAAAAAGAGAGGGATTTTCATTCTATTGTCTTGCATTGGTGGATTATTATATTATTATATACGAATTTTGTTAATCATATTTGCCTAAAAAGTATTTATATTGTCCACATCTGTATGGTTGTTAACAGAATTATGTAAATTTTTTGTAATATATATAGACTCTATATTCTTTCTTTTATTGTTACTACTTTCCTTGTATATTATTTTGGCATTTTAAAAATCAAATTGGTGTTTGTTGTATGTTGCATGTTGTGAAAGGCCGGTTGATGTGTTTGATTTGGACTTGTAATTTTGTTCATGTTGTTTTATTCGTTTCACGAACCATTGTCCCGTTCGTAAAACGAATCCAAATTTTCCTTATTCCATCCTCGATATCTACTAAATATTCTGTTCAGTGAAGTACATCGGTCTGAGTCGCTAGCGGATCCAGGATTTAATTTTGGGGGGGCCTCAGCCCGGAATTTTTTTTTTTCATACATATAACGATAATTACTTTGGAAAAACAGAAAGATATTAACTACTAGTGTTGCCCAAAATCGGTCTTGGTCTTACACTTTGCAAGACCAAGACCAAGGTTACCTAACTGTTGCAATACCAAGACCAAGACTGTAAAAAAAAAACGATTTTATAAACAAATATTACGGCAAAATAGTTACTAATACTTGAAAATTTTAGCTGCTATATGTTAATAATTGCTTTAACCAATATACCTTTGCATTTAACTCCTCTAATGTTTCATACGGGCTTAGTTAGGTTCCTCCTATCTAAAAAATAAAGTAATATCTCTATAGTAACTGCAAGACTGTTGCGAGAGTCTTACGCAAGACCAAGACCATGACCAAGACTGAGTTTGCAAGACCAAGACTCGTCTTGGTCAACATTTTGGGCAACATTACTAACTACCTATATAAAATGGTGTTTAAGTAATTCTTGAAGTCCTATTAAATGTAATTAAACGAGCAATAATACTTTAAGACATACTTTTTAAATATTTTTTACCATAAAACATGGTTACATTTTACCATTTTTTGGAGGGGGGGGCTTCAGCCCCGAAAGCTCTCCCCCGTAAATCTGCCTGCGGTCTGAGTCAATAATCGAAACTTTTATAGTAAGGGTAAGTAATGCGCGCGTGAAAATTTCATTTCAGTGATTGAGAATTTTCAAAGGAAATAAACGTTTTGGGGTGTCCTGAGTCCAAATAACCAAGTCCCAAAAAATGGTCTGTGTGTGCGTGTGAACAGTCTAGCTCAAAAATAAAATGTTGTACAGACCTGAAATTTCGTTTTCAAAGTTTGTATATCTCGGATATGTTACAGCAACTTTTTCGTCTATATCCGATACGAGGAAATGCTAATTTATTTCATAGATTTTACGATTTTCTTACAACGACGCTAACGATTTTGATTAAACTCGGTGTATCAAAGTATAATTAAGTAATGTTTAATATCATTCAGGTCTTAAGTCTATTGATGTTGCTTACGATGGCTAAAATGGCTAATTTTCAATATTAGCTTCGTCTAAAATAACTTTTTTTTTTTAATTTAAATAATTAACCATTTCACATTAATCTTCAATATAAAAAATAATTAAATATACAATATGAAATAATTTGATAATTAACTTAAGGAGAAATAAAAGATCCTAACGGATAATAGTTATAATGGAAAAACCAAATTAATACGAGCGCGGCCAAAATATTACAACAGGCTTCCAAACGTAACATGAGCTTAATATAATTCGGACTCCGATAATATTATGTACATATATATATGTACAGAATACAGCGATATAAAAGTTAAAATACCCGTAATGAAATGTTAATAAATATAGCGTCTATAATTTTTACTAAGTTAAAATCGTGTGATGCGCGCACCAGATTTGATTTTTTTCAAGAAGTCATAACTTGTTGTTGAATGGGAAGCGATAAATAAAAGGAATATTTAATTTATTTAGAAATTAACAATTAATCCTCAGTAAACTATACAAAATTTACTTCAAACGAATATAGAGTTTGTCATTGTTAAATTCATTTAAAGATAACTTTTGAAGGGGTGAACTATGCTAAGTTCTGTTTTTGAAAAAAAAAAAGGTAAATTATTTGCGATTTATTTTTAGCATTTTTAAACTATACTACAAACACCCCACTTTTAGAAAAACTTGCCCGTTTAATAAGTTTCAAGATTATATCAATGAAACTAATATTCATCACCAAAAAAAACTAGAGATTCACCTCAAATTGTGTAAAAAAATGATTCGATTTTATAATTTATCACTTAAAAGTGCCAGTGTTTTAAACAAAAATGACTACAATAAACTATTTCTAAGCTTTAATTCCTTTATTTTTTCGATGATCTGGTATGTATAATAAGAAATATAAATACCTAAGATCACTTTTTATTACTAAAAAAAATTAAAAATAATGATTATTATTATTTTATCATCTAAAGTGAAAATAAAAATGTGTTTTTACTACAACCTTTCTTTACAATAATCGATCCGTATTAATAAGTGACGAAATAAATGTCTATGGTTATAAAATTTACGTTTAAAATAAAGAAACCTGATGAACATAAATAATAGGATAAACAACATATAATTTGTTGATAAACCTAATTCCATAACCACTTTAAATGAGAAATATTTGTAATCTTTTGTTATTTATAAATAAAAAGTGTATTTAGGTAATTATGTTTAATAGTGTTAGCCCAGTGGTCAAAATTCGACCATCATCATTAAAATTTTGAGGAAAAGATATAATTAAATAAAAAATAAATTAAAATAAAAAAAGAGTAAATCGTGATTTGAAAATCCTCATTTTTTAATAAAAACAAAATTTCAATTTCATTTAAAAATCGAGTTTAAACTACTTAAAATTATTTATAAGTAATACGAAATAGTCTCATTCAAAAATATTTAATTTCCATTTTAATTAATGTGTTATTATCACAATTAATTAAAATTGAAATTTTAAAATCAATTTTTATGTACAACTTTTTGGTAAACAATGTTTTTGTTTTAATGTTATGTTATTGTTTAGTAAGTAGCCTTGCCCATTGCCATTGGAAATATAAATTTCAAAATTTTAAAGGTACATGCTCGACTTGCTGCCACATATAATTAATTGTCCATGAGAAAATACTGGACGTCACAATAATAATCAAATTTTTAAAAAAAATTGACTGCGATTTGACTATATTCATAGCAAATGCAGCTATTAATAAGAAATTCGAATGGAAGTACTGTTAAATTAATTCTTGGAATTAAAATTCTTTTATTTAAAATAACTCCCGTCAGTACTTCACTCTCATTCGTGTTCCATTAACTAATGCTTGTGCAGTATTTAAGTTAAGAATGAGTATAACTATACAATTCAATTTTAAATTTAATTTATGAGGTAACATTCCGCTAACATTCAATAACATATTTTCAAATAATAGTTCCGATTACTTCATTAAATGTGAAGTTTTCGATTTATCAAAAGCCAAAATAAAGGAAATCGTCTTTGCAAAAGAAAAAGTATTAAATGTTTGAAATGATATATCTCTGCACAAAATGGCCCGATTTCAATGATTTTTTTTTTCATTTATGGGGAATTCAGGAAGCTTTCAAAAAATATTGGTCAAAATTGTGTACTTTTTGAGTTATCCGCAAATAAACTTCTGAAATCATCGTAAACATGTATCCAGCTTGTCTTCGGGAAAGTATGTTATATACATAAATTATAAATGTTTCAAGGGGAAGAGTTTTTGTGAAGTTTGAATAAAATAGTTGAAGCCGTATTGGCGCTACAGTCTAAAACGAACCACGTTTTTCGGCCGCCATTTCGAAAGGAAAGGCCCGATGATAATGAAACGTATACAAAAAAACTTCTAAATATTATTGCGACGTTGTGACAAAATTAAAAAAAAAAAATCGGTGAAGAACTTTCGGAGATTAGTCGTTTTGAACAAAATACCATTTATATTTTTATTTACATACTATTTCATATTTTTATTTATTGATAACACTAAAGCTCGTCAATATCTATTAAACAAAACAAAAGAAGGAAGAAAATCGGTTGAATAATAGAGGAGAAAAAGGGGCGGAACCTTTTTGTGTTTGCCCATTTATATAATGATGATTATAATACATATTGCATCCCTTAATAGAATGCAAATAATTTGCTGACTGTTATTTCAGATGTATACAAGATTTGCTTTGTTTCTTATAGTTCCAAAATTGTGACTACTCGCTAGTAATGATCACGAGGAAGAGATGCCAATCAATATAAACATAACAGAGTTTGATTAAAGGTATACAATAGTTGGCCGAACAATGTTTATAATTCAGTCAATCTTAATGGATTGAAATGATAAATAGGACAATATATTATACAATATTCTAAAAATAACAATATTAATCGTAAAAAAAAATCGATTATATTAAGAAATTAAATAGTTCTAATAGTATATGTTTATATCACGGGCGGATCTACGGG